TTGATCTAGGATGAGGCCCAAAGAACCACTGGCATAGAGAGTCCAGTACAGATTTCCACTGTTGTCTCCTGACTAGAAAAAAAGGGGCATGTTTTAGATAATTCTTGGCCCTGCCATTGATTAGTATGTGACCTTACATAATCTCTGCTTCGATTTCCTTATCTACGAAACATGTGTCCTCACTTCTCATAGGATTATTTTGAGGATCAGAAGATAATATAAGGTAAACTAAAACATTATAAACACCATAAAGAACTCTATGGATGCTCTATTACAAGGTCCCTGTGTCTGATGCCGTGTGAATGGGATCCAACTTTAATGGAGATAGGCTCTGTGTAAAAGCATTGAATGTTGAAAATTATAGCTAGTTTCTATAAAACCCAGAAAAACGAAAATAATCCCAAAATCAGAATCATGTGGTTTTCTCTCTTATACTGTAGGAGGCCACACATTCACTCACAATAATGTAGTAAGAGTTGGCTAAATGGAAAATGTTACTTTCAAATATGAATATCTGAGAAAAAGCCAGTCTTTCTTAGTCATCTCCCTTATCAACAACCACAAAAATATATGAAGTCAAAGGTAAAGCCTGAGGTGATCATATTTTATTTTAAATTCTTTTGCCTAAGAATTTGACGTAAGAAATGTTCAACCCTTCTGCTTGGGTGATGTGGAAATCAAAGCACTCTATTTTAGAAAGGTGGATCTGGGCTGGTTTTGTATAAGGTGGATCTTAAATCCAGTGCTGCCTCAGAGTCTACTAAAGCAATAGTTTTGGGGACCCTGCCCCAGCTTTATGGAATCAGAATATCCTTGGGTAAAGGTTGGGCACCTATGGCTTTAACATGGTTCAGCTTCCTGTCCACCACAGGCCAGAGGTGGGGTGTGTGTATGGGAACCACAGATATAGCTCAGGGCTTCTCAAACTTTCATGTGCATATGAATCACTTGGAGATCTTATTGTTAAAAGTTGAATCCTAATTCAGTAGGCCCTGAGTGGGGCCTGGGATGCTGTCTTTTTAACAAACTGCCAGATGAAGCAGATTCTGCTGGTCCATGGATCATATTTTGAGTAGCAAGGATCTTGGTGAATGTAAGAGAAAGGTGGGAACAAAAACCTCCTTTGGTGAACAGTTCATGAGGATTTCACTGTTGAATAACCTGACAATTTTAGTACACTGGAAGAAGAATCTCAAAGTATCACAGTTCTATTTCTATTTAATGAGAGCTTGGTTAAAGATCCTGAATTCCTGGTACTAAGTGGGCTTGGAGTTGATGGAAAGCAAAGTGAAAATTCTGGACCTCAATAAACTCTGTTTCTAATATGAGGAACATTACAGACCACCAGAGCCCATCACAGTGATTTCTACTCTTTGGTGTTTGTGTTAAGATTTAACAGCAAAATCTATGTAATGACATCACTTTTGAATTTCTATCTATTAACCAAGAGATGACAAATATGCTACACACAGTAATTGGTAGATTACTGGAAATACCTGCTGACTGAAATGTTTTTTAAAATAGATTAATTGCTGTTCATTTCTATGTTACCCTAAGAAGGTCTGACACTGCATAGCTTTTGAAATAGGACATGCAGCATCCCTTAAAATGGATTTCATGTCATTACTCAGTATCCCACTGATATAATAAAAGGCTGACTCATTTCCTTTCCTCTGCATGATCTGTTACAATTGAAACTGGGATACCATATGCTAGGTCTAAAACGCTCAGTACCTCCAGTGGCTCATGGTGATTCTGCCAGCTTTAAGGTGATATACAGCCTGGAGAACAATGAGAGAATCACTACTGGACAGTTTGCACCGGAAAGTTTTCAGTAATTGGGGGGATTTCATCAGATAATCATTGACTCTACTGCCCCAAACTGATGGATGTCTGAGATGCTCTCTTACAACCTTCAAGATCCTCCTGTTGTTTTCTCACAAATTCCTGTGTCGTGCCTGCCTTGCCCATAGTGTTACTGAGCACATGGTTTCTAATAGAACCCATAATGAGAATATTTATTTCCTTGTCTTTCACCATCAAGACTGTCAGGAATGTCAGCACAGCTCAAGGAACTGGATTTCAGAGCTGCTGACTGCTGCCAGCAGAGACAAGCACATTTCATTGGATGTCTATGAAAATTTTTAATATATTTCTCTGTGGGTAGGGGAAAGTATTCAGGTACCTCATTGTGTAGCAGCACAGCAGCATGCCACGTGTTTTGCCTTTCCCAAAGATATCATTATACCAGGGAGTAGTGGAGTATTTTTTTCTTAATATATCTACAAGATTAATTTTTTAGAGTTGCTGCCATGTTATGAAAACTTAATGCTGTGAAGGTAGATTGCAGCAGACATTAGCAAAATCTTCAATTCTTATTTTGATCGGATTTCATAACGAGAAGTGCTAGCCTGAGTGAACTTCACTTTAACCTAAATATATGTCCAGTTAATTGGTTTCCTCACATAAATGACAGGATTTCAATAATGCAAACATACTTGATAAATAAGTTTAGTCTTTACTGAGTTGTTATTACATAACGATAGAACTGAAAGGGATCTGAGAGATTTCCTTTAATCTCTTCACTTCACAGATATGTAGAGAGTAGCAGAGAGAATTTGAAGATATTTGTCCAATATCAAATGATTACTTGAAACAGAGTCAGGGCTGGAACTCATGTCTTGGACTCCAAATTTAATGCTTCTGGTCCTAACTTGAATGGAAGATGGAGTCCTAAAGAATAAACTCATTTTTCAGAACACAAACTCCTGAAATCTAATCTGGATTCTCTGCCAGTCTTCAAAAACCAAAACCCTAGTAATTCCATGTCATTGATCTAGACTTGGAAGGGCACTTGCCTCTTCCACCTGTTTTTATAGTCATTGTGTTTGAAGTGTTTTAGCTATTTTGCTCTTTGTCACTTCCTCCTAGAAATGTTAGCTGGGCCATTAGATGAGAAAGGAAAAGTTATAACTTTTGGTTACAGGATATAAATAAAAGAATTTTCAAGTTCTCAGTTTAAAATATTTCTTTTTTTTTTTTTTGTTTGAGGAAGATTAGCCCTGAGCTAACATCTGCTACCGATCCTCTTCTTTTTGCTGAGGAAGACTGGCCCTGAGCTAACATCCATGCCCATCTTCCTCCACTTTATATGTGGGATGCCTGCCACAGCATGGCTTGACAAGTGGTATGTAGGTCTGCACTCAGGATCCAAACTGGTGAACCCAGGGCTGCCAAAGCAGAACGTGCAAACTTAACCACTGCGCCACCGGGACAGCCCCTAAAATATTTTCTCTTTTAATCATGTGTAAAGTCAAACAGAAAATTAAGGTAACAACAAGGATAGATGACATCAAATTAAACTTTAGCCAGCATTTCCAAGAATAGAGTGCGTCAATCTGGTCATCACAAACTTCAGTGGAATCCTAATAAATACCACTACCTATTAAATCTCCACACTACTGAATCCTTTATATGCAGTCAGATTTGCCTTACGGTCATCATTACGCCTTTTAGCAGACACTGCAAGTTGCCTACATAGCATCTCTCCATATTTTCCCTTATTAACAAAATTATGATTTTTTTCCCCAGGGCCATCATGTGTCTATATAAAACACTTGATTTTTCAGTCTCCTTTGCCACTGGAGTTAATAAATGAAATGTAGTCCTTCAGCAAAGTAAACCTTCCATAATACAAAGGCAAACTGAAATGGAGAATTTTGACTTTATTCTTGCCTTTCAAACCCACTATTGGGAATGATGACACAGAGACAAGAAGCAGTGACATATCAGAGGATGACAATGTGTGAACAATTTCCTAACAGCTTTAGAAATTTTAGTGTGATATATCTCTCATACAGTTTGGGGTGAATTATAAAAATAAAGAACTATAATTTACGTAGGAAAGTTTATTAGAAGATTATTTAGGCGGGGGGGATTTCAGTATGAGAAAACCGAGAATGCTATGTTAGGCTCTGTTGAACATTATTTCTTTGTAAGTGAATGCACTAGAAATGAGAACTTTGGTTGACCTAACAGTGACTTTCTTCATCACTGCAGCATTTCTCTGACGAGCAATGCGATGCAGTAACAAATGAGATTTTCTCATTTAATAATAAAAAAATGTGTAATGTTTTACAAAGCTTCTATCTGAAAATGTCCAGTTCTTAAAAAAAAAAAAAGGCAGCTTACACAGTTTTGCTTGCAGGGTCATATCTTTCTCATACAATGGAAAGCCTGAAGTCCACTTTACGCACTCCCCAAGCTTCCCTCCCCCACAAAAAAGGACAGTGTAGTATGCTGGGTAAAATGAGAACGGTGCACTAAAGCATCCTGAAAAAAAAAAGGCACCTTCCTTTTTGTCATTCTCATTTCTTCCTATCGAGATTGCTCAGTTGGTGCCTTAGCCATGGAACACGTTGAACACTTTAGAGAAAGATCAGAGAAAGGGTTTGAGCCCTGCTGACATGCTCAAGAAGTGATGCCAGCTTTAGACTACATGCCTTCGTAAATAGATGTGAGAACAACACACACTCCAGTCTGTTGAAGCCAATGCTAGCAGAGTTTTCAGTTACTTGCAGCCAAATGCCTTCCCAACTGATCTAGTCACTATGAGTCTTCACAAAGTGATCTTGGATCCTGTGGTTAAAGGACTTTGGATCTGGGGCTGATCCCTACCCAGCCCAACAACGAGATGAAATGAAACAAGACCATCTTTTAACCCAATCAAGTTGGAAAAAGTAAAGGGTTCTGATTTCCATCGACTCAAGTGTCTTTCCCCTTGTGCCAGGTAGACAGCAGTGAGGTGGAACATTTGCAAAATCTGATATTTTCCTATCCTAATTATGGAAGGCAGTGACAATGATTCTTCCTCGACATGGAGGGACTTTGGGAATCTCTACAAATGACACTGTCCCCTCAGCTGGTGACAAGAAGGAGAACAATCAGCAAGAAAAATAGCACCCAGTAAAGTGCACACATTTCAGTGCATTTATAGTTACCTCCAGAATGGGCTGGTGGGCCACACAGTAGTACCATCCCCTGACCTTGGCGGACAGACACAGTGCTTCTTGTTCTTGTTTTAAAGTTTTCAAGATCTATTGGGAGAAATAAAGGGAAAAGTGTTTAAAATTTAAAGTCCTAAGATGTGACAGGAGAGTATTACTATATTTCAAAAGAGGATAATCTTCTGCTGAAAAACAGCCTTTGTAGAACCAATACCAGGGGAATTCAATGTAGACTCTTTTCAGATGAAATTGTTCTGTTTTTCTTGATTCTATATCTATGCTGTCCTCTAACATAGCCACTTGTCACATGTGCCTACTTAGATTTAAAACAATTAAAATTAAGTAAAATGTTTAATTCAGTTCCTCAGTCACACTAGCCACATTTCAAGTGCTCAATAGTCACATGTAGCTCCTGGTGAACACATTGGACAGCAGAAAGATAAGCACTTACATCACTGCAGAGAACTCTATTGGACAGTACAGGTCTGGATGAAGAAACCGAAGTTTAACCATGTCAATGACCACCCCAAGATCTCTCCATAATTAAAATCATTATGAGGATGAAAATTCATGTTTCCTGACACTCAATTCTGTTCACTTCACAAACCATTCTATTACCTGCAATTATACTTGTTGCTCTATATGTATCTAGAATACGACTCTCTCTATACACAGACCTTATATGCAATGTATAGACATATACACATATACATAATTGTTTTAAAGTTCTTGTGTATTTTAAATATTTATCAGATACTGTCCAAGTTTCTGTTTGGAAAAAGTTCCCCTCTCAAGGAGATCAAGTCTGGTTAGAGAGAGAAGACACTACAAACCTAAAGATCACAGTTCAAGTAAATAAATAGGCAGTTGCCAATAAAAATGAGCTAATGTAAGAAATACGTCTAATAAAGTGACATATTATTGCTCCAAAAAGTGTTTTTTATTCCATCCTCCCAAATGTAAATCCTCTTAACAAGGAGCGTTTTAAGTGCCATTTCATTTTTTGTTGTCTGAAACATTTGATTTAATAACCTTTTTATCAGACTTCAGGGTTATTCCAAGCCAAGTATGTTCTGCAGGGTTGCATGTCATCTAGCTGTGCACACTAGAGTACAGTAACACTTATTGACTATTTCCTCCATGGTGGCCATTTTGCTAAGTATTTTATGATGATTATTTCTGGTGATCTTAACAACAATTATGTGAGTTAAGTACCATTAATGTCCCCATTTTACAGACGAGAAATGAGTAGCACTATGGAATTTGTTGAAGGCTACCACATTAGTGAGTGATGGAGCTGGGAGGTGAACCTGGACAGCCTCCCTGCAGTTACAAAATGGAATGCTTCCACACTCAGGCTTGGTTTTAGGGAGAGTTCAGGATATTAAAAAACTTATACACACTTATGTTGATTACCAGCTTCTTCTGGAATTGGACAAATTTTAAGCTCAAATGTTACTGTTTCCATCAATCAAGTATTTATAAAATTTTCATTAAACATCATCTGGTTGCCAGCTCAGGATACACACATCGTGAGAACATAGCTTCTGCCCTGTAGGGATTCAAGAGTTCAGTGGGCAAGACTGACAGGTAACACCTAATAGCAAGAACTCAAAGACTGCCAGAGTTGAGATATGAAAAGGGGCCCCTGGAGGACATGCACATAGAACAAAATGAAACATTACTATAATTTGAATTACATTTCTGATGTAATGAACTTCTTTTTGTTCAATGAGAACCATGTGAGGCTCGGATATGATTTTTTCTTCTCTTTAAGGAAATGGTTTGAGAAGCCTTCAAAGGAGATTAAACCTGAGATTTAAAAAACTTCATTATGGCATTAATATTGTAAACCATTATCCATAAAAGTGACACTGAATAAGTCTGAATTGTCACTTCTGCATTCAGGTTCTTGGAATAAGTCATCTAAGTTTTTGCACAGACATCCCATCCAATCTCCAGAATTTCATGAAACATTAAGAGCTGATAGATAATAGAGATCAAGTCTTGTCTGGGTAAAATCCACCACGGTTCTGACTAGAAGAAGTGCATCAGGAAAGGGGAAAGATAATGAGAAATATATGCAATGATTTTTAACTGTCCTAATTGAGCTTTATAAACTGGATTCCTGTTCCTTCCTTTTTAGTTTATGAATACATGCACTTCTACAAGATTCGGGCAGTCAGAATATATCACATTAATCTGGTATTTGAGAAAATAATTAGAAATCCTTCTTAATAGTTAATTGAAATAGATTCCAGGTGGTAGAATCTACTTACACGGTGATTGGAAAGACTGCATTTAGACAGACTTGAGTTTGAAAATCCTTTAAGCCATTTATGAGCTGTGTTGTTGACCTTGGGCAAGTCTTGATTTTCTCATAAATAAAATGAGAATAAATGTGCTTTGTTTTAAAATAAGAATTATAGGCAAAGATTAAACGGGATAATATTTGAAAAGCACAAGGCCTTTCATACTACCAGTTTGGTGCTCAGCATATGTTTGTTCTGTCCATTGAGGAATGCTGTAATCCGGTGGCAAATCATACCCCAAGCATTCCATTTAGAAAAGGGTTCCAAACAGCAAATGCACTCTGTAGAGCTGCGGTTGCTAACCAAAGGGCAGCATATTTATGCATGTGTTTAAGGAAAGTCTGCATGTCCCAAACTGGCCTTTTCAGATATAACTATTCATCCTGATCCTAATCGGTAGCAGCATGATAATTTTCCAAATGAAAGAACAATGTGTGGAAAACGGTTTTTTTGGTAACTTGTTCTCTCATGGCCAGGCCCTTCTCATCATTATTCCCATATATATTGTTTTAGTTAAAGTCATTTTATCTCCAAAGCTTTGGTACCACGTGATCAGTGATCAGTGAAGTAGGCATTATGAGATAGTTAGAATACATTATGGATAAACTTTATTGCCATGACCATTGCATTGTTAGCAATAATAGTATCTACTTGCAAAATGTATTGAGGTCATACCATGACCTTTTGTATAGATCACATTTAATTCCATTATAGTTTAAATTTCCAATTTGCAGGTGATATAACTGAAGCTCAGAGAGGTTCCGTACCTTCTTCACATACCTAGGAAGTGAACAGAAGAATAATACAAACTCATATCTGTCTCTTCCCAAAGCCACTCTTCTGAAGTACCAGATCTATGGCTTCCTCACTGATTTAGTGAAGCCAGAAAAAGAGAACATTCAAACTAGTTACTCAACTTCCTTGAGACAAAAAAAAAATTATAATAATTTGAATGAATTTTATATTCTTCAGTGAATATGTAAGAAAATACACATTTCAATGCACAATGAAATGAGTCAGTACATTTAATTTGAAATCTTCTATTCCTTTGCTTATCCTTGTGGGTGAGCACTTGATATGGGGATTTTAAACATTAGGTGCAAAGGATGAAGTTGAACAAGGGGAGAACAATCAGAAACAACTCTATTAAGGAGCAGAATGGTTAAATTGTTAGGAAGGGAGCTGAACAATTACATTTGGATTTTATGCCCTTTAGCTCCCTGTAGTGGGTTACTAAAGATATGGTTGAATAAACGATATATATGTACGACAATGAATTAATATCCATGTACCATGGTTTCTCAAAACAGATTGGTTTTCTTGCTTTGTATATGGTTCATTGACATGTTATCATAGACTTTTTTAAAAAATGGCACTACTTTTTGGTGTTGATTTCATTTATCAGCATTTTACATAAATTTTTCCAGAAATCATGCACTAAGGAATGCACAATTTTGTGGCAGATGTGTTTTCACAGCATATTTTTCTATGAAAACAACTGTCCTTTATTCTCCTATGGAATGTAATATCAGCATTTTATTTTTAAATGAGATTAGAAAATATGCTATAGTACTTGGAACATATACCTTATTGAGAGTATAAATGAAGTGATTTAGCAGTGAAATTCCTGAGGGAGTAAAAGTGTATATAGGTCTTAAAGCTGCAATATGTGATAAATAATAAAAAGCCTTAATATATAAAAACATTTTGAATTCAGATTGCAGAGTAAATCAGAGAGCAAAGGGGAAAAAATCACATATTTCCTGCCTGGAAAGTTATTAAATGTTTAGAGCTGGGGAAAAGGTAGCTTACAATAAATACTTGGATGTAGTCTAGAGAAAATAAAATCAAGAGGATCCAAGACATTTTTTGAGAAGTAATAACTGTAAATAAGAAAGCGTAACTTATTTAGGCCATCATTCAGGGACTACCTATCACACATGAACAGGGAGAGCTGAAGCCATTCAGAAGGCAGGACTATCCAGAGAAGAGTATAAGAAGTTTAGCTTTGAAATGGTCAAGAAAGGTTAATGAGATGATAACACACATCTTGGTTTATTAAGAATCCACAGAGAGGCAGGAGAAAAGGAAAGAGGAAAAATGATACAGTAAACCATGCAAACAATGCATGTATTTTAATGCATGTATTATTTACTAAGAGTGAAAAAAATACCAATTCACTTTTTTCCTGACTTGGGTACACCTGGATTGTATTAATTCTCACAAGGTGGCCTCAGAACAAGAAACTGCCAGCACCAGTTCCCTTTGTTATTGCTTCCTCCAATTCTGAAAGCAGTAATCAATAAGGAAATCAATATCAGCTTGGAAAAATGGTCAACTGATACATTTGCTATGAATATGATTTCCATAATGATGACTGCACAATTATTTTTAAAAAAGAGGTATTTTTGGAGCATAATTTTAAAAACCAATTATCATGCAGTGTACTTATGTCTTGACTTTCTGCCATTTGCTCCCTGAGTGTGTGCATGAGTGGATGTACATGCATATGGTTTCTTGAATTTTAGAGACTCATACTGAAAATAAGCCTAAATTTACAAAACCTTAGGAGTTGCAAACTCACATTTTTTATATTCCTTCCACTCAGGAAGAAGAAACCATTAGTAAGACTGGTGTGGTTGACTGCATTTCCCTATGAGAAAGTATACAGCAAGAGGAAGAATTGCATAATGGTTTAACACACTGGCTTTGGAGTCAGAAGGACCTGACCACAAACTCGGCACTCTTAGTCTCTAACTGTATGCTGTGGGTGAGTTA